GATGATCCTTGTGGATCCATTCCAACTCAGGATATTCTGTAATTCTGTGAACTTCTGGCTTTCCTCTTAACATGGATGACCATGTGTCCCTGTCAGGTGACAGTGCCCAGTGCCTGCCCATGGCCTGCTGGGTTCCTTTGTCCTTAGAACCTCCAAGACTGGCAGGATCACAACTGGAAGAGAAGCAGATATTTGGAAGTAGCTGGATAACAATGCCAGCTGGAGTGTTTTCATCCAGACAGCAGTGAATTCCCTTCAGGATGACAACCAGACAAAAGGTGCCTCAGCCCACCAAAGGCTCCTGTGGCTCTTCCACTGCCTATGCCCTCTTCTTCTTGCCTGCCACCCTCCCAGAAGTGTTCCCAGGCATCCCAAAGGCCAGGAATCTGTCTCCTTAAACATGACAGAGCATGCCCGTGCATCAGATGTGTCACTGAAACTCAGCAAAATTCCTGCTAGGAGCAGCCAACTTTTGGAATCTTCTTAAATGAATTTTATTGTTCCTGTGGCACGTGCCCTTTTGGTAGGAAGGGCATCCAGGGAAGGAGCAGCAAGGAAGGCAGGGGTGTCAGCCAGGCTGCTCTCTGTGAGCTTCCAGAATGTGTGTGTGCCCTGGGAGACATGGGAGAATTGGGATGGCAGAGAGCAGGCACCCCACATTCCAGGAGGAGACCAACGTTCCTGGGGCACAAAAACCCCCACTCCTTGTCCTTGCCCAGGTGGACATGTCCTGGAAAACTCTGGGCATGCTGGGCCTGGCTCATGTAGCCCCCAGCATCTGGGGAAATGTGCAGAAAAAACAGAGATGGGCAAGCAATGTAAACCAGTCCCACAGGAAGGGACAGGTTTGGGGGATGCAGGTAAGGCCTGGCCCTGTCATTTCCAGGGATGGGGACAGCCAGCTTCACATTCCACAAGGACAGACTGCCAAAGTGCACCTTCCCATGTTCCCAACTGCACAAGATGAGGGCCAAAGCCATGGTGATGCTCAGGACCAAAACCATGATGCTGATGTTTGGGGTTTTTGTATCACCTTTACCTGCAGGAGCTCCAGCACCAGCACTAGCAGAGGAGAAGGGCAGGAGTTTGGAAATCCCCTTGAAGAGGGACACAGCTTAGAGTCAAACTCAGGAGAAGGGATAAAGCTCCTCTCCCAGCTGGGAAATATTTCAAATTCATAGACTGGCTGGGGTTGGAAGGCTCCTGGCAGCTTAGTTTGTCCAAGCCCATGCTCAATTGGGGTTGTCTCAAAGCAGTTGCCCATAAACTTCTGCAATTTTGATATCTCCAAGAAAGAAACTCCACATCCCCTCTGAACAAGCTGTACCAGTGCTCCATTACTCTCCCAGATGTTTCCTGATGTTCAGAGGGAGCCCCTTCTTTTTCAGGTTGTGTCCATGTCCAACCACTGGCTGTCTTTTCACCCTCCCTCCTGCTATTTTTATACATTAATAGGATTCCCCCTCTGCCTCCTCCAGCCTGAACAATCCCACGTGTCCTAATCTTTCCCAAAAGGAGAGATCTTCCAATCCTTTCATCATCAATGGACTCTCACGAGTAGCTCCTGTACTGGAGAGCCCAGAACTGGACACAGCACTCAGGTCTGGCTTCATCTGAGCAGAGGGGAAGGATCACCCTAACCCAAAACTTCCCCTAAAGCAGCCCAGGATGCCATTAGCCCTCTGCTAATGGACAACCAGGACCCTCCCAGCCTTCCCTGTGCATTCCAGGTGTCCCAGCACGTACTGGCACGTGGGATCATTCTTCCCCAAGTGCAGGACTTTGCAATTCCCTTTGCTGAACATCAAAAGGTTTGTGTCAGCCCATTTCTCCACCATGCAGGTCTTCAGTGAAGGTGTCAGATGGGCTGGACCTAGTGACATGAGTTACTGGTGTTCCACCAGACACACAGCACTGATCACCACAGTCTGGGACCAGTCTTTCAGCCAATTTTCCATCTACCTCTGGGTTTTTCCAGCCTGTACATCACCACTACCAGGAGGTTACAGGAGATCCTACCAAATGCCTGACTCAAGCCAAGGCAGACAACATGCCCTGCTCTTCCTTCACCCACCCAGGCAGTCATTCCTTCAGAGGGTTATCAAGTCCTTTAAGCCTGACTTCCTCTTTTTGCGCTCATGCTGACATCAAGTGTTTTGCCACAAATCCCTTTGCCAAAAGTGTCCCCTTGCCTGACACCCTGCTGGTGCTAATGCCACCCTGCCTGTGAGGGCTTTTGATGACTGCCACTTATTCAAGGCACTGGGAAGGGCTGAACTTGTCCAGCTCTGCTGTTCTGGGAGCAGAGGGGTTTCACAACCACATTTCCCAAGCCACATGTGCACCAGGACTTTCTGAGTGTGACAGACTGATGTCTTGACGCATTTTGGGGTGCATGTGTGTGGGGAAAGGCACAGGTCAGGCCTTGCCCTGGTGAGGCAATGCCCTGCTCTGCACATCCTCCATCCCTACAGTTTGTATGCCAACCCTGAGGGGCTGCCAATCCCTGGCACAGCAGAGGCAATGCTCCACACCTGCCCCTGCAGCCCCAACCAAGCTCCCCAGTGGCCAAATGACTGGAAAACCCACCTGGGGAAAGGGCTCAGGATGGCTAAGGAGTAGATAAAGCTGAACTTGAGGTGAGCACAGGCCTTGACCCTATCTCCTTTTGGAGTTTTCATCAAAAGAAATACCTCTGGTAGCTATATGTGTCCTCTTTTCTACATTTTCTTGCTTTCTTCTTTAATTCCCTCCTCTTGGAATTCATGAATAATTTAAAATGGAATGGGCCTAAAGTTTGCAAAGTTGAATGGGCCAATTGAATTCTCTGAGGTGTTTTATGTTTAGTGTGTGCTACTCTAAACCTTCAGTCAAAGTTCTTTTGATTTTCTAAATTTGCCATTTGGTTGTTTTCACCTCTCGAGAGTATCTTGTCAGTATTTCTCCTGTACATCTAAAGCAGAGCATATCAACAACCACCAGCCCTTTTAGAGCCTTGTCAGGTGAGTTTTTTTGGGCCTTACAGTGGATGGAACGAGCCAAAAGACAGAGCTGCTGCCTCCTTCTTCTCCAAGGGACTGATCTGTGCCAGCAGCTTTGCTCCAGGTCTGGCTTAGACTTGCAGAATTAAGACAAGGTTGGCCAAGCCTGTTTCTGTCCTGGGACTGCAATCAGCACCAAACAGGAGACAACACCAGCATCCATTTATTCTGTCTTTATTCACTGGGGAGAGGAGGCCAGTATTTTACCTTGTCTTCTGCATGAGCCCTGAGAAGCCTCACCAGTTCTGCAGAGCTTTGGTCCCTCTTACCTACACAGAATCAGGCCTTGGTCGTGGCAAAGTTGATGTGCCTGGAGGAGTTTTGGTACACAGGGAGAGGGATACAAGGAATGAGTCTGCCCCAGCAGCAGTCACTGGGGAAAGGTGTTTCCTTTCTTGTTCTCTCCAGGACCAAAGCTTGTCCCAGCTCACATCAGCCTGGAGAGCAACGGAGCATGGTTCACTAAACTGCTAACCACAGAGCAAAGCCAATGCTCTGGAAAGAGTGAAAGAACCATGAGGGAGCAAGGCTAAGGGTCTCTGCTCCAAGCTTTGTGGGATGCCTGTATAATTTTGGGTTTGGTAGGGCAAGTCAGGCTTAGCAGCACTGGCAGATGGATCTTTGCTGGCCACCATCCCACCAAACCCCCTCCACTGGCTCCCACCAAGCCCCTGCCCCACCTTGCAGGGGGATTCTCCAGGCATCCCTAAATCTGCAGTACAACCCCACCAGCCCCTCTGGACGTGGCTGTTGTAGCACCACCAGGTTAGGCAGGACTAACTCTCACCCTGGCCAAGGGAGGGCACTGCCTGGGGACAAGAGGCAGCAGGGACAGTGTCCTCCCCCAGGACAAGGAAAGAGACACAGGCAGGCTCTGCAAACAGGGAGCAGAGGACTGCTGGGCACCCAGTTTCACACTGCCGAGATGGGACCTGTGGATGTCCCACGTGGGGATGCAAGGCAGGCCAGAGACCATTACAGACTGCTGAGCCCTTCAGAAAGGCAGCCTTTGACCAGCCTTTGCCCCTTTCTTTCAGAAGAGGCTGGTTGTCCCTTAACCATACCTCATAATCCCCCACAAGAGCAAAACCCATGCAGGTGAGGAATGAGACACACCTCTGACCTGCAAGCCAACCTCCAGGCAGGTCAGCCCAGGGTCAACCAACAGTGCCACCATGCTCCAGAGGGGCTGAAGGTATCCACGTGCTGCCCCTACAAGCCAGGCACTGAGATTGCTCAAAAGGCTGTGTTTATATGGCCACATACCCAGCAGGTCCTCACTGCAGGGTGTGGCAGCAGCCCCACACCTGTGGTGGGAAGGGGTGTCAGGCACAGAACGGGATGCTGTTGAAAAGCTGGGACTTGGAGCTGCAGAGAGACAGGGAGAGATCATTCCCCATCATTCTCCCAGCTGCCAAAAGCACTGTGCAGCACCTGCCAGCCAGAACCAGGCTGCTTGAACAGCAATGGCAGGAAAAGACAAACCCAA